CCTGAAGTTCAAGCCCTAATTTTGAAATAGGGCCTGACACAAAACCTGTCTAGACCGTGGGACGCCCACATGTTATTTTTAGACACACATGCAATATGATTGACAGTGTTGTAGATTTCGTTACACAAAAAATTTATATTCTCATGAACATGTCCGCAGAGCATTTTGCTTTTTAATTAAACTTAAAAATTCAAGGTACTTTTATATAATTAAGAGTCAGTTTCTCTAATTTAACCGAACAGGCGAACAGCAAACAAAGATTTAATTAGTCCGTTCTGTGCACGGCTTGACTGCCAAGCTTTCTCAAGGTCTCAACTTGCTGGACGCGGATCAGTACTCTAACGACTAACGGGCTAACAACAGCAACAATTAAATTCTCAATCATACCACGAAGAAGGCGATGTAGCTCAGAAAACAACGCCGGTAGGACCTGATATTAAAAATAAGACTTTTGCCGGCGAAGCAAGTTGGCAGAACATCCCCTGTCAACAACAAGCTTTCGAATACATGACTAGTTTGGCTGTTCTTTCAGCGTCGTGTGTGTCCAAAATTCGTCAAAGATTTTGATGAAGCCCTTTCAAAATACTGTTTGTTTGATTTATTTTCTGCCATAAAGCATAAAAGAAAAGAAATTCGAAGAAATCGATAATGGAATTTGTTACGTGCGTTTGACCTTTATATTAATTCTCGCCTTGACAGAGCTATTTTTAAAACTGTTGTTTATGTGAACTTGCAACCAATCAAAATCCTTCATGATGCTGATCAACCAATCAGATTTCCCGTCCACCAGGTGGACGGGAATCCCACAGTTCCAGTTTAGATAGGTTTTGTGTCAGGCCCTATTCTGTGATTAGGGCCTGAACTTCAGGTTAGTATCGTGTCTGTATTGGAACACACAATTGATTTGTATACCAATGAAAAATTATCTGACTTGTACAAGATATTCCTATAGCCACCCAGTGTGGATTGTTGTCTGCACATATTATTAAACTTACCAGCAGTTACATGTAATAACATGTCAACCGACTTTTGTAAAAGGTATATGACGGTCCATAAAAATATATCTCTGAGATACATCCATTGTTAGCATAATATGAAATAATCCTACCAGCCTACATTTATACAGTATATTCACCTGGCTGTGTCACTACAGTACTCAGGGGCCGATTACATGGAAAACTTTCAACCCCGGGGTTGAACTCAGCCCTGTTAACCGGGTTGAATTTTTTTGCGATTACATGGACGATTTCAACCCTGGGGTTGAAACGCTATACTACATGTTCTCGGCATCGATTCCCGAGATTTAAGTAAAAAAGCCCTCATTTTGTTTTCTTGTAATAAATAGTCACTACCACGCATGCTCGAATAAGTCATGATAATTTTAGCCCTGGGTTAAAAAGATTACATGACAAAATTGTGCTAGCTGAAGCAGGGTTGAAGTTGAAGTCAGCCCTGGGTTGACAATGTTGTCATGTAATCGCGTGTTTGATTTTGATAGAGTTTTGTATTACAGACAGGGCTGAAATTTCAACCCAGTAGACAGGGCTGAGTTCAACCTTGGGGTTGAAAATGCTCCATGTAATTGACCCCTCTTGAAGGGTATACTTTATTTTTTGATAATGCTCACAATTGTATTATATAGTTTTGCTGTTCTGACTAAGTACAATCTTAATCATTACAAATATGAATGGTGTCATCAGAAGCTGACGTATGGAACAAAACTGTCAACAAAAGATTTTGTCTCCCCATCAAGCATCAGCAGATTGTTCAGTTGTTTTGCAATAGGGCCATTATTACAATAAAACAATAATTGGGACAAAAACTGACTTAATATTTCTATATATGGAATTGTTATTAAATTCTACATGTCCAATGATTCATTCAAGTATCATTATTGTTTATATACATTAATATGATTTTGTACAGTATTCAGTGGCAAGCTAGCTACCATGGCAACTGGTCATGCCATGCCAATAAACCTGCATCTATTTGAATAATGCAAATCATTAAAAGCTTGCACAGCATGACCTGTTGCTATGGCTAGCTTCATCACTGACAGTATTATAACTATACATACAAAAGCAAGAAGTTATAAGCATTGAATGTATTCATATACACTGCCCATGCCAAGAAAGTAGAATTATATTTAGCTGCCATTCTACCTTGTGCAAGGTGCTTGATATTGAAATTGCACTTTTCCTACCTCCTGAACAGGTGTAGACCTTAGAGGCTGTTTACATGATGGAATGTGGGATGATTTTTGATGAATTGGAATAAATGACTAGGCTAAACAAAAGTTCAATTGCTTGTTAACATAACTCAAATATTGTAGAGAAGATCTTGTAGTTCAAGAAGATTATAATTGCTGCTTGAACAACCTTTTGTTCACAGTTAACTATAATCTATCTCTAGAAAATGTTTTTTGGTGAATTGTGCACTGTGACTCATTTCAATTCATCGAAATCATCCCTCCTTATACTGATCTCGTCCTGGCGAAACGGGATCGCATAAACTGCCCCTTATTCAGCAAATTGCGCATGGTACCAGCCCTTGGGGGTGAGGCAGCATTTTCCTTGCGATAGTAACTTCTAGTTCTGTAGTGATGGTTTGTATTGTGCTTTAGTTTGTATATCTAAGTTATCTAACTCATTTTTGTTCAGTTTTGGTATTAAATACGGTTTAAAATGTCTTTTGACAGCCTTGCTATTTGCTGCCGCAGGCAGCTTCCTATTCTTGTGATTTGTTCCCAGACCTCTTTACCGAGCTATATGAATGCGACAATGATTTGGATTTAGCAATGTTTGGATGTTCAGTTTTATGACATTTTGTGACGTAGAAGATATTCGACGGGTCTTTACGGAAGCTACCGGCTGCTCTTCGGGACTTGCCAAGTTTAGCACGAGGGCGAAACTTACAAGTTGGCAAGTATTTAGCAAATATTGCGATTTTTAAGAATTATATCTTCTTGTAAAGTCATTTTTTAAGGTAAGATCAAAGTATTATCTACGATCCTTTTAGTTTAAGAAGAATTTTCAGGAGATTTGACGATTTGTTCTTCTAATATATAGGCTCGCGTTTGATTTTATAAATCTGACAGTGCATATCGGTGTTGGGAATCATTGTGTTCACGCTTGTAGCTGATCAATATATTGATCAGACACTTTGCGTGTTGGTCATGGTGTGGCAACAGGCAACTCAAATAAAATTTATATCAATTGTAAACAAACAAACAGTAACAAACGAGAGCCATCAAAACAAACGAGAGCCATTGTACGAAGGTATCACGTGACTCAGAGCTACAGTATATCATATATAAAACTGCAAATTTTACAGACCTCTATTTAATACTGCTGCTGATAGATCAAGTCGCAGTGATAAAATATATTGCATTTGTTTAAATGGGGGTAACAATTGAGCAATATCGTGCCTGAATTGGTGCACATTTTAATACTGTAGTTATAGTGTGAGAAGCAATGATCTATATTTTTGGCATCAGGCGTTCTTTTCTCGATCATATAAATATGTTGATGTGAGCCCCTGTATATACCCCCCACCCCATGTATAAACCCATCAACAAACGCTTACGAACTTATATAAGCCCAGGGCTTATAATCGGAGGTTACGGTATTTGGTTTGTTTACAATATTTGGTAATTTGTCCACACGGTTTAAGTGTTTGACAATTGACATTTGAAATAAATGAGTTAACTTTAAAACATTGCATTCACTGTTTTACTTGGCCAAACAAACTATTAAAATTACATGTCAGTAGTTAAACCTACTTGTTATTAGAATGGGTAATAACCCACAATGAACCAAGCATAGTGCGTGCGAGAGAGAGCCTATGGCTAGTAGGCTGGCCAAATATATAACTTTTTATTGGTAGAATATTGCAAAGTTATTTCATTACAACTACTCAAATACCTCCTACAACCCATCACTATATTAGTACTATATTCAGAACAATTAACAAATTTGGTTGTGGATTACCTGCAAAGCATTGCAGCTGAAATTTGGTTGTGGATTACCTGCAAAGCATTGCAGCTGCCACATGATGCTGCAACATGATTCGTCATCAAAATGCTGACGCCATGGTCCTACACAGTGCACTTATGGAGGTTCGCCATTTTGAATATTATTAGGGGGTGAATGCCTCTTAGCGCACTGGTTAGTACTGATGTTGAGATGCGATTGGTAACCAGGCCTTCATGTCAAACATAAGGTAATCAAGGTGCCAACTTTTTTGCAAGTTTGCAATGCGAATACATGTACGGCAGCAATTCACTAACTTTATGTTATACTAGTTTTAGCAGTTTTTGTGACATAAAACTGACATTTGAAGTAAGAGTATTTTTCAGGGAGGTCACGTAAATTCGAAAATGGGTGTAATGCTATTCATCTATAACTAAGTAGATAAAACTATGGGTCATGAATAAAAGCCTATACAGGTTTCCAATGGAAATTCTAGCCCTCTGTAATATAATATTAGTAATTATTATTGTAAATAGTTATGATATATTTAGGCAAATTTATTAAATAAAATAAAAAAATATATTATTCTTGTTTGTCGCTTTTAACTCCGTACTTTTTAAAATTATTTTTGTCATTTTTGCAAATATGTTATTTTGTATATATCGACGCTCCTCATGGAAACCAACTGAATGTGGATGAGGCTAGCGTAAATTAGATTTTAAATAAAGGTTACATACATACATACACACATACACACATACATACTGGGTGTTCGTTGACATGATGGTCTCTTTCAGTACATGAAATTAATATTTCGAGTTAGTTCAGCTCCCGAGGCTGGGGTCGATGATGTCCAAACATCGCAGACGACAAATAGTGGTTCATGGAAAATACCAAGAAAATCACGATCGGAATTTGGAGAATGTCATCAGACAATTATATTAAAGTTAAGAAATGTCACCCTTAATTTAGAGAGGTGCTCATTCAGATTGTTCAAAGCTGTCTTCATGGGTTACTTGTTGTCGAAATATGGAGTTCGTCCCACAAGTGAGAGAGTGAAAGCAGTGATAGAAGCCCCCTTCCCCTCCTCAGCTTCTGAGGGCGTAGTTTTCTTGGCACGGTTGTGTTCAGTTCTAGATTTATTACGTCACAATCACGTCACTATCTCAGAGCTCCTGAGAGCAGTCATGATACTAGCAACACTGTATATGTGAGATGAGAAGTAGCAATAAGCGTTCAAGAGTCTTAAGAAAGTCTTAATTAATGCTTCGGAATTGACATACTTTAATAAAGATTCCCATACTAGTGTTGTTACTGATGCAAGTCCAATTGGTCTAGGGGCTGTCATCATTCAGGAAAAGGACGGTGTTTCTACGGTGGTACGGTTTGCGCAAGTTGCAGCCTTAGTAAAGTTGAATGACGCTACAGCCAAACAGAAAAAGGAGCCCTATTGATTGTTTTATTCCACGTGGTCCAATTAGCCATTTGCTCGCATAGAGAGATGGGGCTTATGGCTCCAACCTTATAATTACCGAGTGCGATACGTCAGGCGAAAGAGAATATAGCAAACGCTCTCTCACAGTTGACCAAGAAAGTGTCCTCGAACCGCTGTACCAGCAGCATTCAAGAAATTGAGAAAGCATTGGCTGAAGACAGCGCTAGCGAAATTGAAGCAATAAGGGGATGTTTGGTGAGTGGAAACTTAGATAACGCCCCAAAGCAGTACCTTCCTGTCAGAAATGAGCTCACTCATGATATTGGACTGTCATCTTACGAGGAGCTAGAATTGTTGTACCAACAGCGCTTAGAAAGAGAGTTGCTGTAATTGCACATGAAGGCAGGGACGTCGCTACTGGTTTGTGTGTGGGTCGCGGGGTGTAACACTTTCCCATTCCCCAATAATTTTGAATGGGGGAAGGTAGTTAAACGGGAAAAATTTTGATCAAAATAAACGAACTACGTCGAACGGTGAAGTCGAAAGGCAAAAGACGCAAAACCGCTCCCTTTTGAAAGCGACGAGACCAGCACACTTTCAGAAGAAGAATTGGGGAGACGATAAATAAGTGTTTAATTTAAAGGCATATCGGTCAACAACGCATGCAACTACTGGGAAGAGCCCTGCAGAATTGCTATACGGCAGAAATTTTGGTACGAAACTTTTGGATATTGCAATTCATACCAACAGGTGAGAGATCGTGATGTCGAAGAGAAACAAGTCGTTGCAGGCTACGTAAACAAAAAGCGCCAGGCTACAGACAGGGAACTAGGGACTGGGGACTGGTCATGTTGGAAAAGAAGAAGAAAAAATGATCTCCAGTTTATGAGAAAACGCCGTACAAGGTAACCGCGTGCTAAGGTGATCAAGTTCACATTGAGTCATCCCAGGAAGTGACATAAATTAAAAGCGAAACATTCAACACCTGAAGCGATTCAATCAGTCTAGCGAAGATATATGAGTTATGGTATGAACATTCCAACTGACGGCGAACACTGATTAGAACGATTTCCTTCGCCAACCGTGCCTGACAAGGAAACAGAAGATATTACACCAACAGTTAATCAGAATTTACGCAACGACGCGGGAGCAATAAGATCTGGCAGGGTAACAAAGATCTCAGAGAGATTTAAAGATTTTGTCTTAGACTACTAAAATTTTTCTAGTTTAATTTAAGCATAAGGAGTAACATTTGAGCATGAGGAGTAACATTGAAGAAAAGGAGGGGGGCGTTGTAGTGTTTTCGCTACTTGGGTTACATGTGTACCATTGATATTATACAGTATATTAATTGAACAACGTGTTTTTGTGCTGTCAACATATTGGGTTGTTTTCCGTATATCCCTTCTTTTTATTGCTCGCGTAGCCTTAATAGCTTTATATAAATATGAGAACGACAATTTATTATATAAACATAAGTGTTATATAGAGTTTTTGGCCACTGAGAAAAATCGTATTTAAACACACGTAAAAAATACGATATTTTTAAAACGCATTGCCACGGACGTTTTATTGTTTTTCACTGAATTTTGTTTATATAATAAACAGAAAAATACATGGATGCTTGGAAATACCAGATTTATTTCTCGTGTTAAACATGATATCTCACTCGTTCGCTGCGCTCACTCGTGAGATATCATGTTCAACACTCGAAATAAATCTGGTATTTCCGCGCAGCCATGTCAGTTATTCTCTATTTAATTAATGGTTTGAGCAATGTGCTCTTTTCAAATAAAGGCTTTCACCTGCGCAAATGTATATGGTTTCCATGGAAATGCCAGATTTGTGCAGGTAAAAGCCTCTATTTGAGGCTCAAAAATACCGGAATTAATTAAAAACTTTTTAGGCCTTCGTTACAAATCCCTTCCATATTCACCGAAATATTATTGTTGGACGGGCCTTTCACATACATTCAGCCGGACTTTATTTAACGAATAATAAATTTAACCTAAAATTTTCGTTCAGTGCAAGGCAGTCATCGCTATAGGCAAACAAACGTTTCTCAAGTTTTTAATAATTCAAATGTTTGCATAGCATGCATCATGAGCAGTTGCTATGTTTGGCTCTGCGAGTAGTCTTCTTCCATTCCAAACCATTTACATCGTGTAGTTCCCTCCTTGGCAAAGTACTAATTGCTCATGATGGTAAATTGTCCTATTTTTTGGCTTGCCTTTTGTGTTTTTGTTTGCAACACATTTAGTTGTGTTGAAACCAAGGTTCAAAATGTTGGTACATGCAAAACTCATGCAGATTGTAAAGTTAACTGGGTTTACAAGTATTGCTGTGGTGGCGATACACATAGCATTGACCGTACGACGCGAAAGTGCAGCCTTTCTTATTGTTTAGATAAGTATTGTAAAACTGAAAGCCACTGTGGCGATCCGACGTTATGTTGCCACTCGAATATATGTGTTGATCGTGGTTGTTCTGGCTGTGCTTCGGACTCGGACTGTAGCTCTGGTCATGTATGTTGTAAAAAGAGTTTTCCTCTCAATCAAGGTTTCTGTGCTAAGGATTGCGTTGGCCAACAGTGTAACGTCAACGATGACTGTGCTGTGGGAGTCGAATGCTGTCGTGATGGAAAGGCATTAACACACAGTCACAGGAGTGTTTCAAGGTTCAAAATGTTGGCACATGCGAGACTCACGCAGATTGTAAAGTTAACTGGGTTTACAAGTATTGCTGTGGTGGTGATACACATAGCATTAACCGTACGACGCGAAGGTGCGGGTTTTCTTATTGTTTAGATAAGTATTGTGAAACTGAAAGTCACTGTGATGATCCGTCGTTATGTTGCCACTCAAATATATGTGTTGAACGTGGTTGTTTTGGCTGTGCTTCGGACTCGGACTGTAGCTCTGGTCATGTATGTTGTAAGAAGAGTTTTCCCTTCAATCAAGCTTTCTGTGCTAAGGATTGCGTTGGCCAACAGTGTAACGACAACGATGACTGTGCTGTGGGAACGGAATGCTGTCGTGATGGAAAGTGTATTAACACACAGTCACAGGAGTGTTTCAAGGTTCAAAATTCTAGTACATGCAAGACTCATGCAGATTGTAAAGTTAACTGGGTTTACAAGTATTGTTGTGGTGGTGATACACATAACATTGACCGTACGACGCGAAGGTGCGGTTTTTCTTATTGTTTAGATAAGTATTGTGAAACTGAAAGTCACTGTGGTGACCCGTCGTTATGTTGCCACTCAAATATATGCATTGATCGTGGTTGTTCTGGCTGTGCTTCGGACTCGGAGTGTAGCTCTGGTCATGTATGTTGTAAGAAGAGTTTTCGTTTCAATCAAGGTTTCTGTGCTAAGGATTGTGTTGGGCAACAGTGTAATAACAACGATGACTGTGCTGTGAGAGTGGAATGCTGTCGTGATGGAAAGTGTATTAGCGCACAGTCACAGGAGTGTTTCAAACAGTGTAAATCGAACTCTGAATGTGAGTCGGGGAAGTATTGTTGCAAGAAGAAAAGTGTATGGTTTTGGCAAGATCGTTGTACTGAAACTTGCCTTGGTGAGGTTTGTATTTTCGATGATGACTGTGGTCCTCCTAATGAATGCTGTATTGCTGGAAAATGTAATCATGGTTGTTCAAGGTGTGCTAGTGACTCGGATTGTACTGCAGGCCTTTACTGTTGCAAGAAAAGATTCCCAAACGAGGCCAGAAGGTGCCTGGCGCACTGTACTGGTAAATCATGTGGAACCATTTCTGACTGTGGTGATCAAGATGAGATTTGTAACTCGAACAATATATGCGCAATGCAAGAAACCAAACAAAACTACACAGATTCTTCTCCACCATGGCACATTGCTGTTATAGTCATCGCTGCATTACTTATTGTTGTTGGCATACCTATGGCCATATTTTGGTGTTATAAATGAAAGCAAGCAAGCAACACAACGCAAGATGACAGAGGATCTTTGCAAAATACCCAAAGTCAAAGATCAGAAATTGTGAATGCACAACCGAATATTCAGTTTGCTGGCTTTAATTATGACAACTCTATACAACAGCAAGGAACTGAGTTTAGTCTTGATCCTTCCTCAAACCACACGCAGCAAAATAAACAGAATCCTGTGTCTCCAAACCCTGCCCACGCAACAGCGACGAATATGCGAATCCTCGTTACAGCCCAACTGATGAAGTCTGTGAGGACCCTGATGTCCCCCTTATAGTCGATTAAAATATTTAAGCAGTACCATTTAAAAAATTACTTTACGTTTTTAAGTTTCTACTTTATATGATTGTCACGGAACACTCTCATTTATTATTCATAAAATCAAAATTTTAGGTTAAATTTAGTAATAGATCCGATGTTCGCTTGAATGCAGGCGAAATGTTAAAACTAAGCAAAATACTATTCTAAGCATAATCAGAGGAGGTAATGATATTTTGTCATAAATTAAAGTAAAATATATTTTGTTCGGTTCTTCGGAAAACATTCATTATTTCTTCCATTATCTATCACAGTTTGTTAGACTGACTGCCGTTGTCTCAAGTTAAAAGTGTCAAGTTTTGATTGATCTGTTTCCTATAGTTTACCAATTGTGGGCACATTGTTTAAAAAGAGCAGCTGTCTGCACGAGGTCTTGTGAACATTGAGTCATCTCTGAGCTAGATAACACGCGGTTATAAGTAATTATAATATTACGTCACGAGAATTTACTTTGTCATTTTTTGAGTATATTTAACAATTAGACAACGAGGCCGAGTTGTCTAATGGTTTTAGTATAAACTTTAACATTAATTTACAGCTAGGCTGCATACACAATACAAAAATACACAAAAAAAAATATAAAACCAATAAAGGTAAACAAATATTTTAGTTTTTGTTCGCGTAAATGATTTACAAAATTCAGTTTTAATTTTAAAATTTCATTGAGTGTATGTTATTTTGTCTATTTTCTTACCCTTAAAAATTGCCATTCCATATTTTTGTTGCTTTTTCGGGTTTTTTTAGTACAGAATTGTTCAACAAGTCGTCAAAAAACGCGAATTTTCCGCTATTTTGAATTTTTTATTAGTAGGCTATCGCTAAGGGACGGACCATTAGAAAAGTGATGGGGGGGGGGATTTTCTAAGAGGCAATATTTTTTTGTACACCTATAGAAGAATTTTTTTTTCTCACTTGATGGTTGGAAATATTTTTTTTTTAAAGGAGCCCTACAGTAATTTTTTAGTCAAGTAAGTATTGTTTACATTTTTTTGTTATTGCCGCTACTTGACATGCGCACTACAGTATGCATGCGTTTTCTGGTGTGCGAAAGTACTCATACTTATGGATACTGCATGTAAGATACAGCCAAACGAATCTCTGTGGAGTCCCCTACTTAAGGTGGCTTTCGACTAAAAAATTACTGTAGGGCCCTTTAAGTGAAATTTATAGGCCAATTAGTGGTGTAGTCCTGGAATGTTAACAAGGGGGCTCTCCAAAGTGCCCTGAATTGGCGGGAGGGGAGGTGAGGTACAATAAGATATTTTGGAAATTCTAAATTTTGTTGGGGTTTATTCTAGTAATTCTGGGACAAACATTTGACGTTATTCTTATTAAAAACAAGCCGAAGGAAATTTTTAAATTTAGAGTCTCTGAAATGCCATTTCCTGGACTTTGGGGAAGATTTGACAGAATTCTGATGGTCAGAAAACAGCGTTTTAGTATGTCGAAATTTACAATTTAGTGGTACTAAATGATATAAAGATTACAAAAATGGCGATATAAAGATTACAAAAATCATTATTGTGTTAAATGATGAGTGAAAATGAGATGCAATTCTAAAGAACATTCTCGTTTACTGATTTTTTTGTGTGTGTTTTTGACGTTTTTAAGATTATGCAACGTGCCAAAATATAGGGGGGCTAAGCACGCTGGTCATATTCAGCAAATTTTCTCCAAGGACCGCAGGCTCATATTGTCAGTGGACTTGCGGTGTAAAATTGAAAATTTTGCATTTTTCAAATAACTGGCCACTTTCTGTATGATGTCCGCTGTCAATACGAACCCGCACGAGTGGGAGAAACTTTGCTAAATTTGACCAACGTGCAGCCCCCCAAGTCAACATGAAATTTCAACAAGGGGCCTCACCCCCCTGAGCCCTCCCTCCAGTGCACCACTTGGCCTATCTTCTAAGCAAGGAATTTTTTTTTGCACTATGCCTGGAAAGATTTTTTTTTCAGAATCTCACAGTGATAAAATGTCAGAACCGCGTACAAGAGTTCCTAGACCTAACGATCAGGCGAGTGATTTGGGATATAAATCTGAGAAACTATACCAACTAGCGAAAAGTCGTGCGGGTTATATTGGCGTAATTACGAAAGTTTATAAAGAAATTTCCGATATGATTGCTTACAATAATTTTATAGTGGGCTACATTTCGTTGAAATTGAATAAGTTTGACCAAGCTTGGTGCGAATTTGTCGGGGTACATGAGAAATATCTCGTTTTAATAGAGCATGAGACTGAGAAAGAAAGTGCTTGTGTTAGCTACGAAGAGCAAAGAAAACGCAAATTGAATCTCGATGCCATGGTAACAGAATGGCGTCAGTAGGCGAAAATAGAATTGCATGATGAAACCGGAAGTAGAAGCGCTAAATCTAAACATTCCAAGAGCATGAGAAGCGAGGCCTACAGTTCGAAGGCATCGTCGATTGTAAGAAAAAGGGAAGAAATGGCGCTAGCGCGTATGAAGGTAGAGCAGTTGAAGATTCGGCAACAATTTGAGATCCAGGAACAGGAAGTTAGGAGGAAAAGGGAATTAGCACAGAAGCAGAAATGGAAGCTAATATGGCGGTGGTCTCCTATGAAATATTCCAGGAAAACGAGGGTAGTATCTCAGAGAGTAAGGAGCTAGGAAAATACATTTCACCGTATGATGTACAGGACACTAATGAGCCCATTGAGCTAGTTTTAATGAAGGAGAAAGAGAGTAAACAAAGTTACAAAAGCGAAAGACAATCATGTGAAGTTCTAACCGAAAGGGGATTCCAGCACAAGGGATTTAGAAATGCGAGCGAAATACATGAATCGAACAGTAGAAAACCCCTAGTTCAAGAAGGACAATCGCAACCGTCCTTACAATATCAAGGGCTGCCAATCTTGGACCACAATTCTGCTTCTGAACTTAGAGAAACAGGAACTTTACCGTTTGGCTTACCAGCTGCGAGATCCCAGGAACTATTACCAAGCTTAGCAGCGAGGGCACCAGTTACAAATGGAAGCGAGAATGGGGAGAATCCTGACATCTTATTACAGTGTGTGAGCCAACCAACAACGAATGGAGGCTTGCCTCACCCCTATCCACCACCCTTGGCGGCGACCGCAGGCTCACATTAGCCACATCAAATTAATTTGAACGACTCAAACACCCCTACCCATCAACAAGGATATGCACTACCCGCTGAAAATAACCAACAAGTCGGTGATTATACTGGAAATAACCGAATATCTCCTACGGATGAAATTGCACGAGCTCTTCGTCAAGTTGTGAATATGCCCAAGATTGAATATCTGCATTTTAATAGTGATCCGTTAAAGTTTGGAGCATTCATGCACAATTTCGAAAATTGTTTAGAAAGAGATTATCCAGATGACTCAAGAAAATTACAGCTGTTGATACAACACTGCACTGGAAAGGCGAGGGAGGCTATCGAGAGCTGTGTCAACCTAGCAGCTAGTAATGGGTACCGGGTAGCCAAGGAGACCATTCATGAGCATTTTGGGAAGCCTCATGTTATCGCCATGGCTCATATCAAGAAACTAGTGGACTTACCTAGCCTTAAGTCTGGAGATGGTCAGTCATTGTTGGAATTCTCGAGACATTTAAATACAGCCGAAAGGACCCTAAAGGGAATGGGTGCGTCGTATACATCAGATTTAAATCATATGAATACGTTGAGAGAGCTAGCGAAGAAACTACCCATGTATCTCAGAGCTAGGTGGACTGAAAAGGCTGGGAGTATCATCGAAGAAGGTAGAAAACCAGAGTTTGGAGACTTTCAGAAGTTTGTCAAGCAAAGAGCGAAGTTGGTAAACAATGAATTTGGAACGGACATGGCGGTTAGTACGAGAACAAAGGCAAATAGAAGCGAGGGGACCTGGAAGCGAAGAGAAGAAAACAATAAAAATAATGGAATATCGTCATTTGCAGCTGGATCGAATGGTGACCAAATGAATAGAGGTAGACAACCATTGAGTTGCGAAGCTCGTTCTGGGCCACATCGTGTATGGAGATGTGATACGTTCAAGAAAATGGAGCTGAATGAAAGGCAAAGAATAGTTCTGCAAAGAGGACTGTGCAATAAATGCTTAGTTAGGGGACATATAGCAAAGAACTGTCCCAAGACCAATTTTAAATGCAGAATTGCTGAATGTGGTGCCAACGATCACACACTGTTGCATCATACGAAGGGTGCAGGGACGGAGCGAGATAAAATGAAACAAAAGGAGGTGAAATCAGGAACTAAGAACGAAGATGGCGCCGGAGATCGTGTGCAACAAGTAAACGGAGAACCTAATGGCTCAGTTGCAGCAACTAGGGCTGGGGAGAAGAGAGTATGCCTCGGAGTGATTCCAGTGCGTGTTCGGGGTCACAATAGTTGTCATGAGGTGGAAACGTACGCGTTGTTAGACAACGGATCAGAGGTGACTTTGTGTCATGAGCGATTAATGGAAACCCTAGGGCTGGACGGTGACAAATTGAAATTTACCTTAACTGGAATAAATGGAACAACTGAGGTGGAAGGCCAAAGCATAAATATTGTTGTTGAGTCGCTTGATGGTAGTACTGCTCGAAAGTGAAAACGGTGAAACAAATGCCAGTGTCAAAGGGCTGCATACCGAAGAAGATTAATTTGGTAAGATGGCCTCATCTAAAGGATGCCGAAAGCCCTGAGTTAGTTGACGGGGAAGTATTGCTGTTGATTGGTTTAAAAGAGAGACCACGTTTATTCCTATCTTTGGAAGTTCGAGAAGGCGGTGACGAAGAACCAATTGCCATTCGATATAGCTTGGGATGGATAGTGATGGGTCCTGTTAGTGGAGCTAAAGAAACGCGCGATTGTCTTGTGAATTTTGCAAGAACGAAGAATGTCAATAGTGGTCTCGGAATGAACAATGACTTTGGCACCAAGGAAAATCTTTCGGGTAATGTTACCATTAAAGATATAGATAAAGGAGAAGATGTGTACAATAAAATTGGGCTAGAAAACTGCATGTTTGTTGATCAAAGAGTAACAAATGAAGATGATCTGCTAAGGCGCCAGCTAGAGCGTCTTTGGAACACGGACTTCGACGAGTCTACAGTACGAAGTAACGAATCAAATCTATCGGTTGAAGATAAGAGAGCCGTAGAAATAATGGAGCAAACGTTGAAAAGGAAGGATGGTCATTTTCAAGACCCAAGTAGCACTTCCGTGGCGAAAGAAAGCCGTGGTGATCCCAAATAATAGACCAATGGCTGAGAAACGTCTTCATTCGTTAAAACGTCGATTGCAGAAGAATAGTGAGTTATTCGTCAAGTATAAGGACGCTATGCAAGATTATACTGATAAGGGGAACGCCGAAAGGGTACCAGAAGAAGAGCTGGAAGTAAACGATGGTAAAGTATGGTAAAGTGGGAAAATAGCGATTTGAATGAAGAGCCGACTGAGTATCGTATGTGTGAAATCCAGACTCCGGAACTGCATCTCTTTTCCGACGGATCCCGAGGCGGGTATGGAGCAGTGGCTTATCTTAGGCTGGTCGACGATAGAGATCGCATTCATTGTTCCTTTGTTCTTGGAAGAGCTCGAGTAGCACCCATTCGCGAAATTATAATTCCGCGTTTAGAATTATCCGCGGCAGTTGTGTCCGTTCAGCTTCGAGAAACGATACAAAGAGAGTTGGACATGAGACTTGATCGTGTGATGTTTTGGTCTGACTCTATGTCAGTGCTGAAGTGCTTAAGAAACGAAACGAAGCGCTTCCATACATTCGAGTCCAATCGCCTTACTATCATTCATAACGGATCAAACGTCTCAGAGTGGAAATATGTTAAAAGTGAAGAGAATCCCGCGGATGATGCTTCTACAGGGCTGAAATTGGATGCGTTGCTGCAAAAGGAAAGGTGGTTAAAGGGACCGATGTTTCTATGGAAGAGCGAAAGTGAATGGCCCGCTAGTGTTGAAGTACCAAGTTTAAGCGACGACGATCCTGAAGTGAGACATGGTGCAACTGTTTACACCACCGCAACTAGTGAAAGAATCCTGGAGTCTTTAGTTCAAAGATACTCGACTTGGTGGGGATTGGTGAGAGCATTCGCTTGGCTATCGAGATTTAAAGATTATTTGAGGATGAAGGTTTCCAATAGAAACAGTGAGTTTCGAGTGGCAGGAAAGACGGAATTGAAAGTTGGGAATTTGAAAGTTGACGAGCTGAAGACAGCAGAGCGAAATGTTGTTCGTTACGTACAACACACGCGTCATTCCCTGAGATCATCACCGCGCTGCAAGAAGGAGGATCCAAAGCGGGTAACGGACACATCAAGCGAAATCTGCAAAACATTGGGAGCTCTCTATACCAGCTCAACCCAATGTTACAAGACGGATTGATAATTGTAGGAGGACGGCTTGAGTTCGCGAACATCAGCGAAGAAGCAAAGCATCCAATGGTTCTACCAAACAAGCATCATGTGACTGACCTGATAATAAGACATTATCACACAGTAGTTGGACACATGGGACAAGAATCTGTTCTAGCAGGTCTTAGAGAGAAATTTTGAATGGGTCTTGAAGGGGAGAGCAGCTGCGAGACGCGTTATACGTTCCTGTGTGGATTGCCAAAAGAGGAAGAAGCCGACATGTGAGCAGTTTATGGCAGACTTGCCACGTGATAGAGTGACAGCTTATGAACCACCGTTTACGTCGGTTGGCGTCGATTATTTCGGTCCAATTGAAGTAAAACAGGGAAGATGTCATGTTAAACGTTATGGTTGCATATTTACGTGCTTGAACACTCGTGCGCTGCATATCGAGATTGCACATTCTCTCAACACGGACTCGATGCTTAACGCGTTGAGAAGATTTGTAAGTTTAAGGGGATGCCCACAAGAGATCCGTAGTGATAATGGTACCAACTTTAAGAAAGCTGACAAAGAATTAAAAGTCAGCATAGACGAATGGAACCACTCAAACATCGAGAATTTCTGTACACAAAGAGGGATTAATTGGGTATTTAATCCCCCAGGAGTAAGCCATATGGGAGGAGCGTGGGAAAGGATGATCAGGTCCGTGCGTCAGATCTTAAGAGCGTTGTTGAAGGAGCAAATTGGTTGTGACGAGGTGCTTTCCGCAATCATTGCCAAAGTTGCGAATATACTCAACGGTAGACCACTTACAAGAAACAGTGACGACCCAAGAGATTCGGACCCCCAGACACCAAATCACCTTCTACATCTACGACCTTGTCCTTCTTTACCACCCGGCGTGTTTGGAAACGATGACAAGAATACGCGGCGTCAGTGGAGACAAGCACAATTTCTAACCAATATGTTTTGGAAAAGATGGATCAAGGAGTACCTTCCGTCGTTACAAAGGCGACAAAAATCAGTGGAACGAACTTCGGGATAATTTAAAGATCGATGACGTCGTACTTTTGGCCGATGAGAATTATCCGAGGGAGCAATGGCCGTTAGCTCGAGTTGTAGAAGTGATGAAAGGAAATGATGGAATGGTTCGTAGTGCCAAGATAAAGACGTGTTCGACAGTGGTGACCCGTGCGAAACGGAAGCGTCGAGGAGAAATGAAGACAACAACTGCTATGTTGGATGCCCGATCACGAAGCTGTGTTGTTTGGAGATGGACAACATTTGAACTAGCAGGGAAGTAAACTATTATCATAACGGTAGCTATTTAAGTTGTGTAGTAAATGAATCTTAACGTTCATTTAGGGGCTGGTGTAGCTACCATTAGATATTAACAATATTGCATAATTAAGAAAACCAGAAGTGGGGTTAAGGGGCGTGTTTTGGGATTGATATTTTGCTCTTGACTGCGAGCGAAGACGAATTTGAACTGTGACTTATTGCGAGCAAAAGATTGATTGTTAAAGATGTGAATTAGTTTGATACAGTCGGTAAGGACTTTCGTTGTTACTTTAATATTATGTTATGTATAAGATATATAAGTAATTTCTTGTTTATATCTGTATTTATTATAGAAAACCTATTCCTATTGCTATACTATTCGTATAAAATTTAATATTGAATTATTGTCGAAGAAATTTTATTTCGTATCGCTGAATTGAGACGGGAGAGAAAGGAGTTGAGTTATACGTATCAAATCTGTGAATTTAGAGTGAATTTGAATTAAAGCTAACGCGAGTTAGCTACAGTTTTAATCGTCAAAAAGTTTTATCTTGCTGTCTAATTTGTGGTTTGGGGGTATATTTTGAAATATTTTGATATTTAAAATTTTTTTAATACTTTAAAAGTTCTTTAAAGGCTCAAAATAAATGTGCAGTTACAAAAACGGTGAAAATCGTGCAGCCTTGTAAAAACAAAGAAAGTAGTTTCGGGTAAATATAATTTATTCATAAAACATTTTTGCATGCTCTCAACGTTAGTCCTTTGCTAAAATTTTATGAAATTAAGAAGTGAATCAAACGATAGTTCATTCTTCGTCGGGTTTCCTTTTTCTCAGTTCAATTTAAACGAAGCCGTGTTTTCATGTTTTTGAAACAAGAATATTTACAGTTGTCGATTGTAAATCGCCTAAACAATCGTCAAAACTATGGCTTCAAAAGCGTTTACTCAAGCTCAAGCAACGTAGAAAACTATATAAAAAGTAGTTGTGTAAGTTTAAAAATATTATTGAACTCCATTTAATTTATATTATAAAACAGTTGAAATATTTTTAGAACATACCTATTAAGCTTGAATTTGTTTCGATCTTTCTTGTTAATTGTGGCTTGCACACCAACGTTGAAAATGTATTTTTAAACGATAATTTCTGTATATATCCTGTTCAGAACTATTGCTCTTCATAAAAAATCCCACTGGAATGGGTTTTTCTCCTTTACAAGACTTTTCCACTTTAATTCTTGATATATTCTTACCGAATGCCCTTCGTCGGTATAAGTTAATACTAGGCTACTATTATATAGGCATTCACGGCATGGTCTACTTTCCATACCATGTTGAAAGTATAAGAAATCTATTAAATAAATAATATGTTTATATAAGTATGTATATGTAGAGGTCCTATTAAATCAGGAATAAATCACGTAAAATTAAACAAAAGTTAGAAACGAAATACTTCGCGAAAAATGATAATAACGAAGTGAAGCTTCACTTCTTAAAACTATACTTCGTTCCAAGTTAAAGTACTCCAGAAAAACTGCATGCTGACTTCTCAAAAATAGTACTCAAGTACAGTAACGAGGTACATTTACTTCGTTACTTGACACCATGTACATGAAATTATAATATTTGTAGTTAGTTCAGCTCCCGAGAAGTAAGATAGTAAGGTGATCCTTCGCCGGGAACGATGGGGTCCAAACATTGCAGACGAATTAGTGGTGCATGGAAAAGACAAAATCGGAATTTGGAGATTATCATTATGCGATTATATCGGAACAAAGGAATGTCACCCTTAATTTAGAGAAGTTCTTATTCAGAATGACCAAAGTTGTCTTCATGGGTCTCCTGCATGCTGTTGAAATATGGACTTGGTCCCACAAGTTAAAGAGTGAGAGCAGTGATAGAAGTCACCCCTCCCTCCTCAGCTTTAGAGGTTCTTGGCATGGTTGCGTTCAATTCTATCTAGATTTATCCTCCAATTTTCCCACTATCCCAGAGCCCCTAGGGGCAGTCACGAGACAAGGAGCACTGTTATGTGGGATGAAAAGCAGCAATAAGCGTTCAAGAGTCTTAAGAGAGTCTTCAGTAGCTAATGCTTCGGTATTGACTTACTTCGATAAAGATGCCCATACTAGTGTTGTTAATGATGCAAGTCTGAGAAAAGTTTGTAAGGTAGTATAGTATGTTACGCAAGTCGCAGCCTTAGTAAAGTTGAATGACGCTACAGCCAAACAGAAAAAAAAGCCTTACTGATTGTTTGGGGATTTAAAAGGTTCAATTTGTATCTGCAAGGTCTGGAGTCATTCGATCTGGTTACGGATCACGAATCCCTGAAAGTAATTTATTCCACCTGGTCCAAGCCATTTGCTCGCATAGAAAGATAAAGTTTAAGCCTTTAAGGTTCCAACCCTATATAACTACCGAGCACAATACGGTCAGGTCGAAAGAGAATATATAGCAGACGCCCTCTCCAGCATTCAAGAAATTGAGAGAGCATCGGCTAAAGATGGCGAAATTGAAGTAATAAGGGGATGTTTGGTAAGTGGAAACTGAGACAGCGCACCAAAACCTTCCTGTTAGAAATGAGCTGACTTATATTGGACATGTCATCTTTGAGGTACTAGAATTGTTATGCCAACAGCGCTTAGAAAGAGAGTTGCTGTAATTGCACATGAAGGCAGGGACGTCTCTATTGCTGCGTGTGCGGGGTGTTACACCACACTCCAATAATTTTGAGTAGGAAAAGTTGGTCAAACTGGAAAAATTTTGGTCAAAATAATTGGTCACTTGTAAGCTGAAAGTGTGAAAGTATATAGTTGATTAAAAACCAAGATACTTATTGACCAACAGGGAGAAAATTAACAGCGAATTAACATCCCGTTTACAATCAACATTCTTTGTTTTTGTTTTGCGCTTTGTTTTTGTTTTGCATACGAAAATATCTAGTTAAACCAGTAAACCTCACCTTGATTATTCTTGATACACTATATCCTCGCAAGATAAAGTGCTTATGATTCAATTATAAATGGGCTTATGAGTCGGATCAAATATTTTTTACTGAGATAAAAATATAAATCTTCACCTGAACTTACATTCTTTAGGTTCACAATTATACAAATAACAAGTCTTTTTTTATTTTATCCTCAGTTTCATTAAATATAACATAATTTTCATACTCATACATTGTGCCAACAATACGAGGCCATCGCATTATCATATTTTACGCCACACTTTTTGATCTAACATTTAGGGACTATAGTGGCATACATTTGTTACTAGGACACCAATATGGTTTTCATTTCCTCTATCTAAACTTTAAAAACTAATCATTTTACGGAAATTTAAATTATCTACCACAAAAACCCTCCACAAGCACTGCATTCAATTTCTCCTTTGCGTAAATGACGTTGTCAAAACTCAAAACTTGAAAGTTGGTCAAAATGTTCCGCACAACTTGGTCAACATTTCAGGACCCCCCCCCCCCCAATGTTCATGCCTTCGCGACGTCCCTGCACGAAGACTACCAAGGAATTGTGAAAATTAAGTAACGGTTGCGATTTAAAGTGTGGTGGCTGTGTGTTGATAAGGATGAGAAGGGAAAGTTTCGTGAATGCTATGGATGCCAAGTGGTCGTTAAAAGAGTACAGAGCCCCGTCTGTGAAGTCTACGATGATGTCTGAGTGACCGTGGCAAGATTAAGTTCTTGATTTACTTGGTCCAATGCCAACAGAAGAGCTGCACTTGATTGTTTTGGCTGATTACTATAGCAGGGATCGAAGTTAACGTGGTAAGATCGGCAAACTCTGAGAAAATAATCAAGTGTTTAGATGATCATTTTGCAAGATACGGAATATCGAAATCGTAATTGAGTACCGACAATGGGTCAAATTTTGTGTCAGCTTAAGTAGAGCAGTACCTGTTAGAGATGGGAGTTGTGCACAAGCTTAGGGCAGCTGAGAGGGAAAGTGGACAGGAAGAGGGGAAATTGCCTCGGGCCCCCACTTTAATAGGGCCCCAGCTTAGGAGAGCCTAAAATTGAGTGGGTTCTTTAAATTGGTCAGAGCATTTTTGAAACCGAGGGCCCCTTACAGTACCTCCACATGCAGTCTAGATAAGGTCTAGTTGGGTGACTGACTTAGGTCTAGCTTAAAAATAATGACGTCATGGGGCCCCCAGAAAAGATTTGGCCAGGGCCCCTTGCCCCGTATATGTTGTATACGTCCAACACGCATTGTATATGTTGTATACGTCCAACACGCATAAGATTACATAACTCAAAATTATTCGAACGAAACGGTCTTTTGTTAAAAGGAAGACTAATTAATAGAAATTGGTCCTTTTGAGTGACATAAGAGTGTGTCATCGTCCATCCGTGTCATTGAACAAAGAAAAAGTTAGTCGGCGTGAAATTGGAGAAAATAAAATAGCGGTTTGTGAGAAAACGCAAGGCTTACGGAGCGGGAACTTTTCGGATTTGAACTCAGCGTGTTCAAAAGTTCTAGTTCTGGGAAAATATTTCAGTTCCACCACATGCACTACGAAAGTGAACGATATCGGGACGCAGCAAACGGCCTACAACACTGTTGTGATCTAAGGCAAACGGTGAAGTCGAAAGGCAAAACCGTCTTCCTTTTGAAGGCGACCGACAGCAGCACACGTTGAGAATAAGAATTGGAGAGACGATAAATAAGTATTTGAAGGCTACAACTACTGGGAAGAGCCCTGCAGAATTGTCATATGGCAGGAATCTTGGTACGAAACTATGGAATACTGCAATTTATACGAACAAAGAGGAACAAGTCGCTGCAAACTACGTAAACAAGAAGCGCCAGTCTACAGACCCCTGTCTAACTAGGGACTGTGGACTTGGTTCTGCTGAAGAAGAAGAGAGAGAACAAGCTATCTCCACCTTATGAGAAAAACGCCGTACAAGGTAACCGCGTGCTGTGGGGATCAAGTTCACATTGAGTCATCCTAGGGAGACGGAGTGACATATAAGCGAAACATTCAACACCTGAAGCGATTTAATAAATCTGGCGAAGATGTATGAGTTATGGTATAAACATTCCAACTGACGGCGAACAATTGGAACGATTTCCTACGGAAACTATGCCTGATGAGGAAACAGAAGATATTACACCAACAGTTAATCAGAATTTACGCAGCGACGTGGGAGCAATAAGATCTGTGAGGTAACAAAGAGCCCCAGAGAGATTTAAGGTTTTGTTTACGACCACTAAATTTTTCTATGACGTAAGTTGAGTTTAATTTAAAAAAAATTTAAGCACGAGGAGTAACATTGAAGAAAAGGGGGGGGGGGG